TTTGGAGACGGTTTGGGATTTCCGATTGCACTTCACGAAGTCCTTCTTTATGTAAGTTTGAACGTGAGTCTTAGACTCATCAAATCTGACCTTCTTCTTGACCACGTTCGATGCAACCTTATGGAACGTCTCTTCATCATCACTCCAATCATGGACAAGTGCAGGAGTAGCCTTTGAGCTTGGTGCTTCGGTGTTTGGAGCAGTGTTGAATAGATGAGGATCATGGCGTTTGTTGCATTTGTCTCCATACCGACACTTGCCCTTAGCCCAATGCCAGCATGGTTCATCAACCTTCTTGGTCTTGTTTGCCGGAGATTGACTTCTTGGAGTTCCTGGCTTCCGACCATTCCCTTTTGCGTTCTTGTTCGCATCGAACACCTTTTGATCATGACTATATTCACAATCTTTGCCTTTCCTGCATGATTTCTTGATGAAATGGAAATGGCATGGGATCTTCTTCTTGGATCTAGGGCTGGTACTTCGGCTGTTTGCTCGATCCTTTCCTTTCCCTTGACCTTTTCCTTTTCCTTTTGCATGCTGTTTAGGCTGAGGTGATGGTAGAACTGGAGCTGCATCGGCCTTGGCCTTCGCCTTGGGTGCTGCCTTCTCCTTGGGAGTAGCTTTAGGCTTCGCCTTTGGATTTGCATCCGGTGCAGCAGCAGTTGGATTTGGGGCAGGAGCTGAAGGTTTGCCGCCACCTGCAAAGTCTCTTGCATACTTCTCTCTAGCGGCCACATGCTTGTCCTCTCTGATTCTGGAGATGTGCCTTTCGATGACGTCCAACAGGTAGCGATAATTTCGTCTTTGGTCTCCTTCCATCCATGACTCGTACTGCTTGATGTCAAACATCATAAGACTCGAATTTCGAATCTTCTTGTATAGAGCATCACGAAGCCAATCATCAGGAGGTACATCATCCGGCATCATGTTTGATACCATCTCCATCCATTTCTCGTAGAACACTTCTAGGTTTGAGTCACCGAGATATTTCATCGATACGATGTGCTCCATGGTGAAGGCTGTTTCTCGTTGACCTGGGGTTCTGAAGTGCTCCAGGATCATAGCCAAGATTTCCCGTCCCATGACATAGGTTCTTCTTCGACTATGACTTTGTGTTCTCAATCTCAATTTGATCGCTACATGACGAGCGACATCGCCGGCTTGGGCAATCACGTTTGACAATGCAATTGACAACTTGGCGTCGATGGACTGATACCGTTGCCCTCCACTGTCATTCAATAGCTCGATGTCAGGATTTGGTCGAATAGCCGGCTGTAGCCATGCTTCCCATGCGGCTTTGTCCCCATCATTTGCCGAAAGAACAACACTCTTAATGAGATCCGATTGCCAAACCCCAAGATTCTGTTGCTTCGGCCATGGGCTAACATAGACTTTGTCAGCCTCTCGTCTTGACATTCTCGGCACTTCTTCTGCAGTGTAAGCCGCTGTGGAGACATCATCTGCTGAATCGCGTTGTGATCCTCGAACTGAAGGCAAACCTGGAGGTTCGGGAGGTGGTCCTGGACCGTTAGGCCCGAAAGGGTCCGGAGGTCCATCAGGGTCAGGCGGACCGCCCCATCCACTCGGTGGCTTGTAATAGTCCCTCTCAGTTCCGTCAGCGATCTTGTTGTCAACCTCTTTCAGCAGATCAGCGATTCTTTTGTTTGATTGAGAAGGTTGTTGTTGTTGAGAAGGTGCAGCATGCCCACGATAGGAATGAGCCATATTTGTCTCATAGGTCAACTCCTTGTCGATCTGCGAAACCCAAGATTTCAGAATAGCGTTTTCACAGTTCGCCTCACTCACGTCATTCTCCAGTTTGTCGATGACTAGTCTTGATGCGAGATCGTAGTTGGGAATGCCTGCCGAATAGGGAAGTGTGTCAGGACTGACCCTAGCCATAGATGTTTCAGAATCCTTGAGACTTTTTCTCAGTTCATCTAAGTGACGTTTCATGTCAACAATCTCAGAATTCTTGACACCAATCTTTTCATCCCTATCCTGGATTTCCCCCATGAACATGCATGATCTCTCATATTGTTGAACACCACTAGCCAATTTCATTTTGCGCTCACTCTCTAGTTCAGATCTTAGAGTTCGGACCTCAGCGTTGGTGAGGGACGACGTCCCTACATCCGCGACTTCAGCCAATCTTTCTTTCAGCAACAAGTTCTCTTGTAAACATTCATGAATTTCATGATCTAGATCCTGAACCCTGATTTGAGCAATTTTGGCTTGATTACGTAGATCTTCAACAAGCATCTCATCGGGGCCACGACCGTCGGTCGTAGTACCCTGAGTCAACGATCTTCGCAGCTTCGTGTTCTGCAACTTGATCTCATCCTTTAATTCGCAGTTCATCTCCTGCTCGTTGGTGTAGAGCTCTTCATAATGCTCAGCCCTTGCGATCGAGTTCACACTAGCCTGTGATTCAAGCCTCAGGTGTGATATCGCTTCGGCCTCTTGGTTCCTGTATGATGCAATTCTTCTGACAGTATCATGTTCAGTGTTTCGATGCTTCAGATCACTTTCCAATTTGGCCTGATTTGCCTCGAAAACCTTCTTCCTAGATTCTCTAGTGATCTCGTCAATACTGCTTTCATACAGCTCGGCCTGTTTACGAGACTGAGCCAAAGCTTCACTCAATATCTGATTTCGTTCAGATAGTTCATGAACTGCAATTGATTGTTGTTGGCTAATCACTTCAAGTTGATTGCTAGAGAAGGATGCCATTTCGGATCGATTACGATATTCCATGATTGAGTTCTGGAAATCTGTTTGCATTTCTTGACCTTCGTTGTATAGTCGATTGGCAATATCGGTGGTTAAGACATTGGTTTGGTGAAGTTGTTGCAGTCTTGCCTCCGTATTACCCAATAGTCCTTGAAGGTGATGTACTTCATCCTTGTACTCCTCCACGTTGATGGATCCGTCGTGCACCATGTTCCATTAGGGCACCTCGGCGTTCAAGGTCTTGGATGCGTATTGTTGCACCTTCGTCTTCCTGAGATGCTACCATTAGTTCTGCTTGATATTCTGCAACCTCATTCGCGGAACGTGACAATCTATGATTGAGTGCATTGACTTCATCAAATACATTCTGGTTGTGTTCCCGAAGATACTCGGTGAATCTGACTTCGATGTCATGAATCAGTTGATCTCTAGATGAGGCGTATGCTTCCATTTGGTTCAACTGACTACGTAGGGATTGACATTGTGCCCGTAGTTCTTCTATCATGGCAATAGGTTCACTAGCCACAGAAGTATCCGTTGATCTCCTCTTAACACGACTATCCCCGGTCCTCTCACCAATTCGGTCGGTCACGGCCCTGGTGGATCTGTCCCTTGGAGTAGTTCGTCCTCGAGATGGTCGATGCCCTTGGCGGACAACATCACTTCGAGCACTGTTTCGAGAAGATCTTGGTGTACTTTGGGTGGATATTCTTCGTCTGTTTGATGTGACTTGCCATCCGGACTGTGTAGTTCGGGTAGAGCGTATCCCACCACTGTCTGCCGTGTCGCCAGGGGAAGATTGATTGACCTCCTCGACCGGCATAGCAGTGTTCTCATTGAAGGTAAACTGCGTGGTGCGCGAATCTCCGCTGCCGCCTTGCATCTTTGCGATGATGAGCTGATTGGTCCTTTGCGTCCTCAATCAATTGCTCAGAAGGCCCGGCTACCAGCACGCAGGTACCACTCTCCCGGCGGGAGAAGTGAGCCCTACGGCTGATAACCTGTGAACAAATGAATCCTTGTTCTGGATGTAGTTATGGATTTGCGATACCTGTTATGCTGGTATTACCGGACACTGATACGGCATGGCAAGCGGAGCTCGGACTTTTCCTCGCGCATGGACTTGAGCCAGTACGGCGTCCCGACGTACAATGGAGTATGTACATCACAAGTGTCCTAGCGTTTAGTTCCCTTTGACATATTATATGTATATTAGATGTATACATATACAGTATACACATATAAATATAATTATAATTATATGAATGCATATTATGTTCTATATACTTACGTTATGTGTATATGCGCATACACACACACATACCCTTCAGATCCTAGCATCTGGGAGTCCCAGCTCTTGCAGGAGATGGATTTAGAGCAGTTTTTCGACATAAGATAATGTACATATAGATATCTGGTTGGTGGTTTCAACCCCTCTGAAAAATATTAGTCAGTTGGGATGATTATTCCCAATATATGGAAAAATAACAAATGTTCCAAACCACCAACCAGGATATTACAATGCGGATACACAGATACACATATGTAGACCAGTTTGTACATGGCATAGGATACTTTGAAGACCTCAAACACCAAACATCTTGGTCCAGCTTTTTCATCGTACCACGCTACACCACTGAGGATTGCGGACCCCTGAGGCCCATTTTTCTATCCATCCCTGCCAGACTCTTGGAAATCTTGGTTTAGCACTGCATACCATCTGGTTATTTAACATAGCCATGGAAAATCACCATTTTTAATAGGTAAACCATCTATAAATGGGCAATTTTCCATGGCTATGTTAAATAACCAGAGGGTAATTATGATGACTTATGATGATCTATTGGTTATGGAGTCTCAATGAGTATCATATAATTTTCGTGTATTTAGAGATCTGAATGCATCGCAGGATGGCATTACCCTCATTTTAGTGGCTTGTACTTGTGTTTTAAAAAACACAACTGGGATGGTTTACCATACCCTTATTTGGGTTGATCATTGGGCATCTGCTAGATCCTAGTTCTGAATCTGGGTAACTTATAGTAATTCACCTGAAAAGTTCGGTCCTTTTGGGATAGTCACCCCTTTTTCATCCTCTATGAATCCCAATGTTTTCCCAACATTTCCATCACAAATTTTGCCATGTTCCACACTATCATGCGGCGAAACTCAATTCGTAGCCCTGTCCGGCTCCCCATTTTTCTTGCGAATAGCCCAGTCCGGCTCCCCAGTCCACCGCTTGCGAATGGTTCATCGCACCGGGTTGC